AACTGTCCAGACCCTTCTGGGTGGTCTGTCTTACCTTGACCCCTGGCTCAGTCACTCTAGTGTGTCTGGAGTAGATTAGAGAATGTGTTTTTTCTGAATTTGTCACCATTCTTTATATAAGCATTTGTTAGGGAATCTTAGAATTTTAGGAATTAACACAGGTAAGTGTTTAAGCTCCCAAACAAGTGGGTGACCAGAGCTGCTCAGTAATGTCACTTATATCACTAACCATTTACTTGTGTCAGGCAACCCAGAAATCCCCACACTCGTCCGCATGGCAGTCTCATAGATTGTCTTGGCCTGTCTCGCCCTGCTGGAAAAGTGGAATGGTGGAATTACTTTATCAGTCTCAATTTTCTTTAGTTATTGTGATTATATGGCTATTACTTAGAACAGTACTGTTTTTTATAAGATTCCTATTTTTTATTTGGTTTGCTTTATTAAAAAAAAACAAACAGTGTGGATTTATGTAGTTTTGGGCCCGTGTTTGTTGTCATTTCATTCCTGTTAAAACAGCATCCCTGTTGCAGATTCTCATTAACCGTGGACGGTTCTTGTTCAGAGAGAAGGTTCCATCCATCTGTAGCTTGAGGGGTAACACTTGAATGTCCTGTCCGTATCTGTCTCTCAGCATCACTGTGGTATAATAAGTTTTATTCAGGGCCTAGAAAGCTACACTGTCAGAAAAAGCAAGTCCATGCACAACGAATCGGCTTTTCCTAAATCTTCAGTAGAGATATTAGGGCAAAACAGCCAGATCATCTTATGTGGCAGAGACAATGGTGACTGGACCTGGGACATAAATAGTGTTCAACAGACACTTGCTGGTTGAGCAAGAGAAGGTCTGGGGCCACCTTCTGTCTGAATTCCACTGTCCACTCCTGGAGTGCCTGTGGGGCCCAGCCAGGCACAGACTGCCGAGGGCAGCGGACTGGCTGGCACTGTGCGCTGTGTCGCCTGGCCTTGCCGCTTCAGGAACCAGTCATAGGAAGAGGTGTTTTGGGGGTGGGGAGGGGGAGGAGTTGAATGTGGTTCTAGTAACTGCACAAAGCGTGTCAGGATGAGTGTCCTACATCACACAGGTATGTAATGGGACAGTTGGTTTAGTGACTGTAACTGGCATTTGATAACTGATCACCGAATCCAGGGAGATGCCGCTGATTAGTGGAATTTCCCAGCTCTGAGACTTCTTTACAAGGTTATTTTCAAGCTTTGCATGGTTCTCATGAGAGAAAAGCGTTCAACTGTGAGAGGGTGTGTATTGCTCTATCCAGGAAGAAGAAGAAGACATGTGGCTGTCTGCAGAGCTTTCTCGACGTCAAAACACCAGGAGGTGTTCCTGTTACGGGTGACTGAAGCAGGCACACCGGTGTGCCTGATATGCTTTCTGTGAATGTTGACTGTGTGAGCAGCGTAGGGCACAACTATCTCGATAGTGAGCTGCCTTTGCTTGCGATATGTTCCAGAGAACAGTTGATGTTCCCCTTCCACTTCCTCGACCGACTTGGAAAACACGACACGACCTGCACGGTCTCGGGCGGTGGGCGGTCATCCCAGGCTGGAGCCATACGCCTGGCGGTGGCCAGAGCCTTGTGCAGTTTTGTCACCGAGGAAGAGGTCGAGTGGATGCGACAAGGTAGGAGCTGCGGGGGTGGTGGTCTCCACCCTGTCTGGGAGTGCTCGCTGGTTCCTGCGCCAGTTCCCCGAAATCAGCAAAGATTCCATTAACTATACAGGCCTGCCGTTGGCTGGCTTCCTTTCTCTGTGCTCCAGAACCGTACCCGCGCTTTTCAGTGCTGGTTTCTGTGAGGTGAATTTGAATTAGGAAAACAGAGCCCTCCCAGCATCAGGGAAGCTTTCCTTTGGCCTCGACGGCCTGACCGCTGAGCCAGGGTCAGAGCGCCGCCCTGTGGTGACGGATAACAGACGGGTCAGTTAGATGTGATGATGAAGCCCATACTGTAGCTTTCCAGCATTATTGGAGATTGCTGTTTTTCCACTGTGACGTGACTTTGAGTACTGGGTGACTCTGTCCCCTCGCCACGAATACAAACGTCCGCAGCGTGGGAAAGGACAGGCCATCGGTTCGCTCCTTAGGGCGCTGCTTTCAGCACTTCCGATGAAGCCTGTTTTCGGACCATTGGCCAAGGGGAGAGAACGCCGCGGGCGCTGCTAACTGGCTGTGTGGCCCAGGCGAGTCACCGAGCCACTGGGCCGTGCAGCGCCTCTCTGGGAAAGGACCAAGGCCTGTCTCCTCCCACGTGAGCCGCTGCGCTGCAGAGGCGCCACTTCCGGCTTAGGCTGCTTGACTCCTGAAGTCTCTAAAAATCCATTCGCTTATAAACAATTCGCAGTTTTGTAGGATTCATGTCTGGTCATTCTAGTAACTTGTAGGATCTTACTTCATAATTCTGCCAGTTTGACCTAGTGGGCATACTGAAAAGTAATAAAGCATTATTACTTACAATTCAAACTGGAATTTAGACAAGTCTTGTCTGCATTTTGTCCAAAATATTTATTCTATGCCCTTTTAAAGACAAGTAAATGCAAAAACTTAGGGGTATATAACAAGTGGTTGAAGTTTGCCTTTGCTTTCCGCCCATTCAAATACTCCTAATAAGATACCCACAGCTTGTCTGCAGGGAGAAGAAGTGCTAGTGTAAAGAGTAAAAAAGACAAGGAAAACTATGTTCTGTTTACATATTTATCAGTGCATCGTAAGAGCTTTCATGTCACTGCTATTCTTGGAATCTGTGGTTCTAGCCACCGCAGAGGCGTGTTATTCAGGGCATCTGCTGAGAGAAACTCACCACTTGCCTAGAAATCGTATTCACTCTTTATGGTTAGGAGAGTGAATGCTTCCAGAAGTTTGATAAGTCATACTGTATATGTATGTTTGTATATTCATGTTCTTAAGTCTACAGTGTCCATCTCCTTCCTCTGACTTTGCTGTATGGTGTCTTTTTCTGCTTCTGGTCTCTGTTAGAACTTTGACATCAGTAATAACAAGCAGGCAGCATCAGTGCAGTCACAGGGAATAGTGACCGCGCACCCAAGAGCAGACTTATCTTTAGTCGAACAGGCTTAAAAACCTACAAGGAACCATAGGCCTCCTAGGAGAAGAACAGACTCCAATGATGTAGCTGGTGTTGGTCTCCGAAACGGGGGAACCATCCTAAAAGAGTGAGAGCAAACCGCTGTCATGGTGCTTACACGGGCTGGTAAATCATTACAGGTCTGCTCGCTTTCCTGCTAGGCGGCGCGCATTTTCCATGGTTCATAAAGACTTCTCTTTCTGCACCGCAGCTGGACTGCTGACTGCCGACCCACGCGTCAGAGAACGGAAGAAGCCAGGCCAAGAGGGAGCCCGCAGAAAGTTTACCTGGAAGAAGCGCTAAGTGTTCTTTCACGGGCGAGGAGAGGAAACGCCGTGTATATGTGCCTGGCATGCGGCAGACATACAATAAACATTTGCTGGCCGGTATGAGGGCAACACTATCAGGCATTTGAGTTGGGAGAGGATTTATTTTTAAATGCTACTTTGTAAAGGTTACCTTATAAACATAATTTTTAAAAAATATTTAACTTCATTCTGCTGCTTTATTTTTTAAACTTTCTCAGAAGGTAGTTTTAGAAGCATGATTCATAGAATCTTGGCATATTAGATCTGAAAGGAACATTCAACAGCATATAGTCAACTGAGTAACCTCAGTTTGCGGACGAGAAGGCCCAGCCTCCAAAACAAAGGGACCTGAGAGCTACATTGCTAATTTAATGAGAGAGCTCATTTCTCGTGATTCTCTTGTTTTCTTGTAACAGCCATTGTTACAACATGAGACGCGAGAATGCTTGTTGAGAATGAAATCAGTTGTGGGAGTCTTTGTCAGGAGCCAGAGAGGGCTGAGCTGCCAAGTGTCCCAAGGAGCAGACTCAGACAACAGGCCAGCTCTCCCCTCAGGCCCTGGCAGACCCCACTCTACTGTTTGTAGGAGTTCAGCTCTAAGAGGCTACAGAGAAGCAATACCGTGTGGGATTGTCTTCTCCAGCTTATTTCCCGAACACAGTGCCCTCCAGGTTGGGTACAGGCTTTCGGCTAGAAGATGACTTAGTTCTGCGGATCTAAGGTAGTGATTATGGGTTGATGATTCTATATATTCCGTATTCTATAACGGAAATTTGCTTAGTAGATCTGAAGCATTGTCCCCCCCCCCGGCCAAAAAAAATGTTGGGGGTAACAAGGAGGTGATGGGCGGATTAATTAACTGGATGGTAGGAGCCTTTCACAACCCATGTATACGTACAGTAGCCCCCCCCAATCCACAGGTATACATTCCAAGGCCCCCCAGTGGACTCCTGAAACCACAGATAGTACTGAACCTGAAATAGGACAGGTTTTCTTCTTCTATCCATGAATATCTATGATAAAGTTTAATTTATAAATAAGGCATAGTAAGAGATTAACAACAAAATTAGTGATCAAATAGAACAGTTCTAACAGTATACTGTAATAAAAGTTATGTGAATGTGGTAGCTCAGAATACCCTGCTCTGCTGTACTCACCCTCCTCGTGATGGTGTGAGATGGTGAACTGCCCACAGGGAGGAGGGGAGGTGAGGGGAAGGACATGAGCACTGGGGCACAGCGTTAGGCCACTTCCAACCCTCTGACGATCCAGCAGGAGGAGGAGCATTTGCTTGCAGACTCTGGTTGACCTTGGGTATCTGAAAGCACAGATGGGCCGGGGGGGTGGGGGGGCAGGTGGGGACTACTGTAGATCAGATCATCACATTGTACATTTTAAATACATTACAACTTTGTCAGTTCTACCTCGGTAAAGCTGCAAAGGTAAGCCAGGTGAAATTAACAGTGAAGTCTGTACCCGCTTCCTGCTGTAGCGTAAGCAAGACGCTGGACCCGGGGAAGCGCTCCCCCAGCCCATGGAGGGCTCAGCAGAGGTGCCTGTGGAAGGAGAGGCTCTGAAGGAGGGTGGGTAGGCCAGGAGTTCACAGAGGCAGAACAGCAAGGGGAGGACCCAGTGCCGAGTCCTATAATGCAGGTCGCCCAGAGACTGCCACGCTCTGGCTGTTTGCAGGGCACGGGTGGGGAGGGCTGCGTCCCTGGGGTGGGCTCTGTGATCGCCTGCATTGAGTCGGAAAGACCACAGACCGGTGTCTGGCCCACAGCTGGACTCCTCGGTCAGAGCTAAGTATTAAATTGAAGAGTTTGTTATAGGGTTTCTAAAATTATTTAATATAAGAAACTTAGATTTTAACTTTAATTTTGCAGTAGGTTTTTTTGGGGGGGAAAGTAATTGGTGACAGGTGCCTTAAATCCATTTTAATACAGTTTTAATAAAAACAATACTTCAAAAATTAGACCCTTGATGTTCAGTTGTCCTTTCTCTAGGGAGTTATCTAGTACTGATTTCTTAGTAAGTTTGTTAAAAAATCTAGGTTCAGCTCTGAAATGCGTACATACACTGGAAATCCTTACACCATACGGTAACCCGAGGAAAACGAGGGCATATGAACCCCCGCGTCGTACCCAGCGCATTGTTCACCTCGGACGGCACCGTGGGGAGCGTGCCCGGGTTCTCTACAGCCTTCTCCTGTGGAGTTGTGGCAGGTTCTGTTCGCCTCTGTCCGAGCGTGCTTTCTGTCACCTCGACGAGCGGGAACTGACGAGCAGTCCTGCCGTGTGGCGCGGGTCTGCTGAGGTCTCGCGAGCACCTGCCGTGCTCTTGCCGACTCGGGCAGGACAGGACAGACCCAGTGTACCGGCCGGCGCTTCTCGTGGAGGAGACATCTGGGGGGTGGGGGTGACCAGGGTGCTGGTGCGGGGACGCCAGTAACAGAGCCACGGGCCAGGGCCCTAGAGGACAGGCGACTTGGCTGAGACAGGAGCAAGGGCAGGTGGCGGCGGTGCAGACCCCGGCAGCAGGAGAAAGATAGGCCGAAAGCAAGTCCACGGGTGTTCGGGGTTGGGGAGGGGGACAGCAGGCGGGGGTGCTGCTGCTGGGAAGGGTGCTGTGCAGGTTTGGGGCGGCCTGCGACATCACAGAGCGGGGTCTGCACTTGCTGCCCACGGGGCATGCCTGAGCCTGGTTTCTCTCCTTCAAGGAAATAGCCATGAAGATTGAGATTAGAACAATGATTTCAAACTGTAAGCAACAGGACTCTGAAATATTTTAGCTATTAGGTAAGGTCATAAACAGTACAGTTGACTTTTTTTTTTTTTAAGATTTTATTTATTTATTTGACAGAGATCACAAGTAGGCAGAGAGGCAGGCAAAGAGAGAGAGGAAGCAGGCTCCCCGCTGAGCAGAGAGCTGATGTGAGGCTCGATCCCAGGACCCTGGGATCATAACCCGAGCCAAAGGCAGAGCCTTTAACCCACTGAGCCACCAAGGCGCCCAACAGTTGACCTTTGAGCTGCATGGGTCTATTTATATCTGGATTTTTTTCCCCCCAGTAAGTACAGTACTGTGAATGTATGTTAGGATTTTCTTAACATTTCTTCTAGCTTTATTATAGAAACATATAATACACAAAATTCGTAATAAACAACTATTTGTTATGGGTAAGTCTTCCCATCAACAGTAAGCTATTAGTTATGTTTTGGGAGAGTCAGAAGTTCTATATGGATTTTCTACTGCACAGGGATTGGCCCCCGAACCCCCACACTATATGAGGGTCAGCCTGTGACAACAGAGTGTGTTAGGCCCCACCTCCCTGTGCGGCGGCTCTCAGGAACCTCCAAGGGAGAGTCTCTACCTCAGGAAGATCACAGTTGTTGCAGGAGCAGGAGGGACTCGAAGTAGGGGACCCATGAGGAGGCCGCAGTGACTGAAGGAGGGGGGAGCAGAATGGGGGTGGGTGTGCAGAATGCCCCGGAGCGGGCCGGAGCAGAGCTGGGTGACTGGCTGTAGGAGGCAGGGGCAGATACAAGTAGGAGAGCGAGCAGGCAGCTCGTAGTGCAGAGACTGCAACCATAGGAAGGGCAGTTGGCGACAGAGGGGACAGTGACACCAGAGGGGCTGGCATGGAGTTGCAGGTGTTTTGGGATAGTTGGAAACGAGGGGCTGTAACTCAGAAGGGGCATCAGGCCAGTGGCCGGGTTGGGAGGCCAGTACCTGGTGACACATTGAAACATGGCTGGAACTAGCAAGGAGGGATGTGTGGCAGGAAGAAGGCCAAGCCTCCCCTCTGGAGAAACAACAGAGAAGTTGAAAGCCTGAAGGAGGGAGACGAGCCAGAAGCACCACCAGTGACAGTGGAGGAAGGAGGAAGTCGGGGGCTGACCAGAGGCCCCTGGAGAAGGAAGCTGCCCGCGCTGGTGGACAGTTGGGGCTCTGTGTGTGCAGCGGGTCGCAGTCTGCCCTGCCAGCTCCACTTGCCCTTTGGTGAGGATCACATAAGACAGAGTGGGACAGCCCTGGCTGTCCGCTCGGGAGCTGTGCCCTCAGAGTGCGGGGACCAGGCCGCAGGCCACCAAGGAAGATGATTAGAGCTGGTCCAGGCACTGGTTTCTTTGATCAGCTTGAGGCTGGCTCTTCGGCAAACAAGTGGTTAGGGCAGGAGCTGGGCACTGAGCTTTCCAGGCTCTGATTCTTGACCTCGGCCACCTTGCTCAGAAACTTGGGGAGTGTGTTCTGAACACCCACTATAGATGCAGCGTTGAGAAGAACTGATAAGAACTTTTTTTTAAATAGGCATTTGACAAGATGATTGCCTTCAGATAATAGTTTAGTGCTAATGTTTCTGTAGTCCTTACTCAGTGCCAAGTACTGTTCTGAGTACTTTACAAATGAGAACTGTTGAATCCTTACAGCAACCCTGTTAGTCGCTGAGAAAAATCGTGCCCAGGGACATTATTACATCACTTCCCCAAAGTTGCACAGTGAGGGAGTGGCCAAGCCACATTGGACTCTAGAGCCTTCATCACATCAGAGAGGGGTGTCAACTGCCACGCCATCAAGATGGGATCACTGGGAGGACAATGAGTGGGCCAGGGGCCTGTGGGAGAAGGTTCCAGGTGAGGTGTGAACAGCAATGCGAGTCCAGGGATGAAGCCTGAGGAAACTGAGGACTCCCACAGTTTGCCTACAATGGCCCAGCCTACACCTCTCGGTGTCCCTGGGTTATCTCAGTGTAACTCCTAAGTAGTTCTCTCTTTGGCTTCCCACGCTTCAGGGCATGCATGAAACCTCAGAATCCTTCCCAAGGTTTTATGGCTCTGCAGTCCTTCCGGGGCGCTCTCACGAGATATCCAGGGGGGCCCATCCCTGTTATGGTAGGAACCATGGATATTAAAAGGGTTTTGGGTTTTAGTCTCGTTTTTGTCTGTTTTAAGGAAAAGAAGCCTGGCCTCTGCTCGAAGCACTGAAAGCGGTGGGTGAGGACGAGCAGATGCGGTAGATGTTGGTGAGGGGCGCTGTGCCAGGTGGGGCAGAGGGTTGGGGAGACAGGTCCATGGGCCTCCACCCAATACACCTTCCAAAGGCGGTGCGTAGGATTTTCATCACGAACTTGCAGGATGAAATAAGTACAAGGCCAACCTGAGTCGTGGTACGAGGAAACTTCAGA